TGTTCGCGGCCCCCGGCGCACGACGTCGCGCACGCGTGTGGGCGGGGCCGGTGCCGCGCGGCCTTCTGGGACTTGTAGTCCCAGCGCGGGGCGGGGCGGGGCGGGGCCGGGCTGTCTCCTCACCGTAAATCCTAAAGACGGGGACTTGGTCGGGGCTGCGTCTGCCTTGTTCGCTGCTGTGGACGGAGAGAATTGTACAGAGCCTGAGAAACTCCAAATCTAGTGAACGAATGATGTTAATGACGAGGGCTATTTATTAAACTCTTAGCTTGTTCCTGGCATTGTTCCAAGCACTTAACCTGTGTTCTCTCATTGAGTGAATGGTTATTTATTCAGTGCCAAAATATAGGCACCATAGATGTGTTATTAGATATACACAGGGGGAGTGAGAACATTTTTCAAAGCCCTGGAGATGAGGGACGTGCCCAGATGTCCCACTGCTAGGCTGGAAACGGAGAGGTTGGAGGGGACGTTCCCAGCAGAGGAACCAGCCTTTTACAAAGGCAGAGAGGCCTGACAGTTGTGGCTGGAGCACCGGCTGCAGGGGCAGTGTAAGGTAAATCCAGGAATGACGCCTGGAAGGTAGGTAAAGCCAAACTGTGATGGGAGCTGGCTCCTAATGGCGGAACCATTCCCCCCAAGGATGCTGTGAGCGCCCACATGAGCGCATCTCCCTACAACAGTGATGCTCCCCTAGCAGCCCATAACTGGCACTGTCATTCTGTGGGCGTCCGCATCTGGGTCCGTACAAGGCAGGGGCTGGGATGCCAGCCCACTAAGGTTTCCCCTAGTTCTGATCCACCACGACCTCCTCCCTACACCAAGATGACATAAGGGCCAGAATCCAGGCTGCCCACGTTCACAGTTAAGGGATGGTAGTTTCTTCTAACGGGTATTAACTGGCCTTTGAAAGTTCGCTTGGAACTTGCTTCTTAAATTGGGCAAAGGGAGAGAAGCCAAAGACATTGTTTAATATCAAAGTGCACAGTCACAGAGCTGAGTCCTGATTGGTGGAATGATGATGGTATGATTTGATTCTCCTACATCATCTCTGGAAAACTATGAAACATACACTATGCTTATTCCTTGATCATTTACCCAGTGCCATGCTCCAGGGGCTGCTGGAACACAGAGACTAATCAGATAATTTTTGTCTTTAAGGAGCTTATGTAGGAAGGGACAGACTAACACCCCATCCTCTTGCCCTCTGTCAGTCTACCCTTGTGTGACATGCCCAAGCAGTTCTAAATAATGTCCAGGAAAAAAAAAATAAAGCAACTGTGATGAATTTGTGCTATAATCATAATAACAATGAATAATCATAACACACTACCAACAGCTAACACTGAGTGCTCACTTCATGTTAGGCACCATGCTAAGGGTTTCCCTTCATATATCTTTTAGGAGTAGAAAAAGGAATGAAAGGAAAATCTATTTGGTGCAGGTCAGTGATCTCTGAATTTTATGCACCATCTGAGACTCAGAAGCCCACAGGGACCTGGCAGATAGAGAGACGGCATGCTGGCTGCATCGTGAGTCAGCACCACCCTGGGAGACGCAGCCACTCGGGCATCCAAGGGACTCAAACTTCTGCAACCTGGCCCAAAGCCAAGGGAACAGACAGCAGGTTCTGGATTTGCAGCCCTGGATGATAGGCTCAGAATTAAAAGTGTTCATTATTCCTAAGGGGATGGAAATTGGAGGAACCTGAACAATCAGCTTACAAGGATTCATGAATTGATCAAACATGCTTGCTTTTCAGTTTTCTAAAGATGTTTGCTGTACTTAATATATAAGAAGAATGGTCAGCATCGTTTGGGTGCTTGCTGTACAGGGTGCTGGGCTCTCAAGGACATTTTCCCAGAAGTTGGAGAGGCTGTGCCAGGACTGAAGGGTGAGGGGACCTTCTTTCAAGGTGCCCTTTCTGCCTCCTGGCACAAGACTCTGGCCCCATCACACCCCAAACATGGCCTCTCCCTTGCACTTGCTTGTGGTGCCATCTCAGCTTTCTCCTGTCCGTGGTAGAATCTGCTTTCAGTTGGCAGTGGGCTCGTGGAGGGAGGATTCAGTCTAAGTTAATGCGGGATGATAGTGGCTGCTAGGACACTTGTCTTTTATCAGAAATTGGTGATGAACTGTCCGTGAGGATGAGATCACACCCATGTCCCACCACCCTCTTTAAAATGCCACACACGGTGGCTCCTCAAATCCAAGTTAGGTGCTTAGTCTCATCCCCATCCTTCCTCTCCCTCTTCCTTTCCCATCTCTTAGGCAGCCCCGAGCCACTCCGTGGAATGAACCCCTGCTGGCCCAGCACCTTCAGGCTCTGTGCCCTGGATCCTCCCTCTTCTCCCTTGAAATTGCACGTTGGTTTCATTCATTCGTTCATTCCATAGGCTAATTCATCATACTTCCAGGAGCAGGGAGGTCTCCTAAGCTTTTCAGGATTCTCAGCAGGGCCTGGTCCACAGTGGGCACTTGGCTAATGGATGTAAAAGAGATGTGTTAGCCATCCCCAACCCCCAGGAATGGGTGCTAGCAGTGGTGGCAGCAACGGGGGTCCACAGGGCACATCTTGGATTTGGACCTTCCTTGCTGCTTTAAGCCAGGCCACGTCGTCATTCGGGATGCCATAGTGTGGCTATGGGACGCCTTCTGATGAAGCCCGTTCTGGGATCCTCTCTCTCTTCTGTCTAGGTTCCTTGTCAAGTGAGCCTCAGGGTGAGGCTGAACAAAATCCGGTTCCTGGAAGCTTTGAGAGCAGCGGGTTGGAGTTGGAGGGTGTAGGAGGAGAGCTCACGACAGGAACAGAGCAGTGTCTCAGCGCCCTCTCTTGGTACAGAGGAGGACACACGCACACTGGAACTTTCTCCAGTTTGCAGGGAGGCCCCCTCCCCAGCCGGCTGCCCATCCATCCTGCTGGTGCCACCAGGCTCACCTTCCCAAGGTTACTTGGATCACTTGTCAAGGGTCACAGAACAAGTAATGACAGTGACCAGAAGGGAAATGCCATCTCGTGGTTCAGCCTGCATCCCACTGCCAGTCAGAAGACATTACTGGGCAGACAATTCACCCCAGGCTCTCCCACCATGAAATTAGCTGGGGCTGCCTAGACCTTCTGAAGCTCCTGAGGCTGCCCTGGCCCCTTCTTTCTGGTGGCACCTGGCCCCTTCTCTTACCAAAGACCGTCTGTATCCCCCGCCAAAACCACTGCCTCTGAACGGTCTGGATCCCATCCTCTCTTAGGGACATCATCCCTGAATTTGCTCCCCAGCTCACAAGTGTTGTCTCTCTGCCTTCTGGATTCTTCCCACCAATGCCAACCTACTCTAATGTATTCTCACTTTAAAAAGAAAGAAAAAGGAAACCTGCCATACCCAGCTGCCGGCCCCTCTCCATCTCCTTGCTGCCCTTTCCAGCAAAACTCCTTGAAAATAAGTGCACATGGTCACTGCCTCTCACTCGTCTTAAACATACCGATCAGCTTTTCCACCCTGTCCCCACATTCCCGGGCAGGCACTCTCTTCAAAGTCACCAATGGCCTCCACCTGGCCAAATCCAGGAACCAGTTCTCAGTCCTCCTCTTGCCTGGCCCGCAGACGGCATTGACACAGCAGACACCCATTCTCTTCTTCTCTAAACACCTCTCCGCCTGGCTTCTGGAAGCCACACCCTGCTGGTCCTCCTGGTCCCTGCAGCTCCTTCTCGGTTTCCTTTGCTGGATCATTCTCCTTTTCCCAGTCTCTAACGGTTGGTGTGGCCCAAGGCTTGGTCCTCAGTCCGCTTTTGTGTTCTACCAACACTCCCTCCCCAGGCATCTCCCCAGCCTCAGACATTCAATACAGCTCTGTCCTGCTGACTCCCAACCTTAGAAGGGTGTTCTGCGGTTGTTGGGTGGAGTATTCTAGAAAATGTCAATTAAGCCAAGTTGGTTGAAAGTGTTGTT